CTGCCAAACAACAATGACGGCTGCAACCAAAAATTAGCTGGGCGTTGTGGCGGATGCCTGTAGTCCCAGCTACTTGGGAGGCGGAGGCAGAAGAATCACTTGAGCCCAGGAGTTGGAGGTTGCTTATAAGCTGTGATGCCACAGCACTCTACCCAGGGCGACAGCTTGAAGCTCTGTCTCAAAAGATAAATAAATAAATGAATAAATAAAACAAAAACCCCACAAACAAAAAACAAAGGAGATAATGATTAACCCAGTTATTCCAGTTCAGAGTCGTGATTGGCTAGGTCCTCTCCAGGCAGCTCAGGATGTAAGCTGGGCACCTAGCCTGGGCAGGATGCCATTCCATAACAAGACACACCCCTACTCACACTAGAGCCAGTTCATGTAACATGCACACATCTTTGGGATGTGTACCAGATATGGAAAGAACATGCAAACTCCACACGGACAGTGGTCCAGCCAGGAATCCATTGTTTCTCATCAAAGATATAACAAAACAACATTGAACTAAATACAGTGTCATTCAAGGACCTGCTGAATTCACATTAATTTGTTCAATGAATAGAACCAAGTGCCTACTTGTTCATTCAGTTATGTATTCAACAAACACTAACTGAATGCCTCTAATAGGGTAGTCCTCGAGGATAAGAGATCAATTACATAAAAACTTTATTCTCAAGGAGCTCACAGTCAAGTGGTGAAGTAAAAAGGTCTCAAGTACATGACATTCATAGAATACAAAATCTTTTTAGGGGGAAGAGCAGGGTCTTGCTATCTTGCCCAGGCTGGTCTTGAACTCTGGAGCTCAGATGATCCTCCCACCTCAGACTCCTAAGCAAAATTCTTTTAGTAATAATGGTAAAAACAATCATTAATGTTTTTTCAACTTACAGTGTCCTTTTTAATAAACTTTTTAAAGTAGTTTCAGATTTACAGAAAAGTTTCAAGAATATTACAAACAGTTCTGATGTACCTTGCACCCAATTTCCCCTGTTGTTAACATTACTATGGTACATGCATCACAGCTAAAGGACACTAAACTCCAGGTTTTTTAAAAATTTCCTTAGTTGTATCTATTGTCTTTTTTCTGTTCCTGGATGGGAACAGTCATCCAGGATGCCAGATTACATTTACGCATCATGTCTCTTAGAGGCCTCTGGGCTGTAATGATTTCTCAAGACTCTTGTCTTGAGGAGTACTGGTCAGGCATTTTGTCCTTCCATTTGGGAATGTGTAGTGTTTTTCTCAGTCACAGCTACTTGGAAGGCAGAGGCAAGAGGATTGCTTGAGGCCAGAAGTTGCAGGCTGCAGTGAGTTACAGGATGACTCCACTGTACTCTAGCCTGGGCAATGAGAGTGAGGTCTTGTCTCAAAAAAACCCAAACAAAAAACTCCCACGTAAGTACAAAGGTAGTTGCAAGGTGCTGGGTGGAGGGAGGATTGGGCGCTCTTGTTTAATGGATAGAATTTCAGTTTTTCAAGATGAAAAGAACTGTGGTGATTTGTTGTACAACATTATGAATGTACTTAACACTGAACTGTACGTTTAAAAATGGTTAGGTCTGGGTGCAGTAGCTCATACCTGTAATCCTAGCACTCTGGGAGGCTGAGACCAGTGGATTGTCTGAGCTCACAGTTTTGAGACCAGCCTGAGTCAGAGCAAGACCTTGTCTCTAAAATAGCCAGGCATTGTGGCAGGCATCTGTAGTCCCAGCTATTCCGGAGAAGGCTAAGGCAAGAGGATGAATTAAGCCCAGGTTTGAGGTTGCTATGAGCTATGAGGCTACAGCACTCTACCAAGGACAACAAAGTGATACTGCCTCCAAAAAAATAAAATAAAATAAAATAAAAATGGGTAGGGTAATAAATTTTGTGTTATGTGTATTTACAACAGTTAAAAAGTTTTTAAAAATATAATTTTGATTAAGAAGTTTTTTTGGCTTTTCTTTTTGTTTTTTATTTTGAGACAGAGTCTCACTTTGTCACCCTTGGTAAAGTGCAGTGTCATCACAGCTCACAATAACCTCAAACTCTTGGGCTCAACCATTTCTCTTGCCTCCGCCTCCCAAGTAGCTGGAACTACAGGTGCCTTCCACAATGCCTGGCTATTTTCAGAGATGGGGTCTTGCTCTAGTTCAGCCTGGTATCGAACTCCTGAGCTCTAGCAATCCACCCACCTCAGCCTCCCAGAGTGCTAGGATTACAGGCATGAGCCACTATGCCCCGCTGATTAAGAAGTATTTTTCAGGCTTGGCGCCTGTGGTTCAAGTGGCTAAGGCACCAGCCACATACACCTAAGGTGGCGGGTTCAAATCCAGCCTGGGCCCGCCAAACGACAATGACGGCTACAGCCAAAAAATAGCTGGGCATTGTGGCGGGCACCTGTGGTCCTAGCTACTTGTGAGCTGTGATGCCACAGCACTGTACCCAGAGGGACAGCTTGAGACTCTGTCTCAAAAAAAAAGAAGTATTTTTCATAACTAGCTCTCCAATAGGAACCTACAGTCATGCTCTAAAACTGAGGCCTTAAGATGGCACACTAGGGGCGGCGCCTATGGCTCAGTGGGTAGGGCGCTGGCCCCATAGACTGAGGGTGTCGGGTTCAAACCCGGCCCCAGCCAGCTAAAATGGCAATGATAGCTGCAACAATAAATAGCTGGGTATTGTGGCGGGCACCTGTAGTCCCAGCTACTCAGGAGGCTGAGGCAAGAATTGCCTAAGCCCAAGAGTTGGAGGTTGCTGTGAGCTATGATGCCAGGCACTCTACTGAGGGCAACAAGGAAACTCTGTCTCAAAAAAAAAGGCACACTATACACAATATCATATCAAAGGAATGTTCAATTAACATGACTGTCATTCCAACATTGGGAAAGCAGGAGATTACACATAATAATCAGGATTTTAGACTTTGGAAAACTGGATGATCTGGCAATATAAGCTCAAGGATGTCACATGGCAACAATCAACTGGGGCCAAGTAGCAGCTGCCGCCTTTAGACAGATCACCCATGCTGTAGTTCACTGTGGCTCCCACCACCTTCATTGTGTTACACCTTGCTCACTTTGCTCATTTATTACTCCTCTAAAAATAGTAAATAGTTGGCAAGCACTCTCTGTCTTTAGGGAAGGCTGGTACAGTGGTATCACAGTCTGTTGCTACCAAGATTGCCTGTGCATCACTGTGATAGGATTTAAACACTCATAACTTTGTGTATGTAAGGTACTAAAATACATGTTCCAAATTATTTGGTAATTTCTCTGAAACCTTCCTCCAAGCCCACACTTCCTCAGTGTAGATGAAAGGCATCAAGGTGAACCAGAGAGATCTTTCACATATCATCTGGAGAGAGAAGGCTCCTGCCAGAACTCACCTTCCATTTTGAGAGCCCTGGCACCTTGGACCAAGCCCATTGTGATTCCTACCTTGCTCTGAATAGATTTGCTGATGTGAGCCACTATCTCTCTGGCAGTCTCAAGGAAAACACTTCTCAAGTGTTGAAATCAGATACATACAACTGAGAACCCAGAACTTGAGCATAAACAAAACCAGACCCAATACCGGAAGGCTGCTGATGAAATCCTGCACTATTACCATACCGTTTCATGTGTATTAAAGTTGTGTCTACCTCACAGCCGCCTCTGCTTCTCATATAGAACTGCATCCAGCTTTGTAAAAGGGTTCTGAGTAACAGTTTGTGTTTGAGACCATCTGTCCTAGATGCCCAAGACAGTCCTAAAGTCAGGCTTCTAGACTGCCAACACAGAACGACTTTGGGATGGCTCAGTGAAACCTTCCCTTAGAAACAGTGGCCTACACTCCATCCTGTGTGCTCAGGCCAGGGGAGAAGGAAGTGTGCCGTCTAGAAGGTGGTCTCATTTGCTCCTTTCTGGGATTGCAGGTCTGAGCCTAAGGGACAAAGGCTGATTCCCCTAATTAGATATATTCATACATGGCCCACCTAAGGTGTGAAAGGTCATCCCCACCTTTGTAAGACACAAAGGAGTTGGCATTCCCATGTGTTATGTCTGTGACGTATATAATATTTACTGGCTGCCTTTCCTTCTTACTGCCTAGGGCCCCATGTTCCTCGGCTATGCAGTTTAGGTGGGATGAGATGCACCTCTAGCCGATCAATACATTCTGTACCCTGGTGACAGTTCAAGAGCGAACATGTGACCCTTGCCAGAAGGAGACTAAGTTTATGGCTTTTGATCCAAAAATCAGAAAAACACAGCTGTGTTTTTTCCTGCTGCTCATGAACAGGATACATACAGCTCCAGGAGTTTTAACATTATCTTGGGACCTCTATAGGAAAGCTGCCCAATGAAGTCAAGGAAAAGTTACCGAAGCAATTAAAGTATAAAGGAGCCTCCATTTCTGGACTGTTTGGTTACATGAGCTAATAAATTCCCTGTTTATCTGCAACCACTTTGGTTAGGTTTTCTGTCATTGGCAACAGAAAAGATCCTAATCAAGACCCCATTGAACACAACTTGACCCTACTAAGTTAGTCTCTGTTTTAATCACTGTCTTCCTACCAGTCTTTCGGATTTCTTTTAAGCAGAGCAGTCTAGCTACAACCATGGCAGAACTTAGTCAATCAGAATAAATATTCCCAATATTTATGTATTTTAGCACAAAATTCTGTGTAGTGGTTTACATTATACTTCTCCTTTTTACACACATCTTTTAAAAGGAAACGCAATCTTCTGATTTTAAGAAATGCAAATGTGGGGCAATGATACATCAACCCAAAGATTTTCTTTTGTCATAGGAAATGTTTTTGAAGGGGGAAAATAGGGATTTTTATTATTAAAAGATAAAGGTAAATTTATTTTTTAACCATACAAAGCATTGGAAACATTTAGTTTCACAATATGCCATTATTAGGTGTTCTCTATCTGATTGTTAGAAATTATTCATTTCCTCAAAGAGAGAGAATAAATTGGTTGGGGATGCAATCTTGTACTAGGCACTTTCTTTGCCAAAGGCAAACACTGAGCATTTCAGAGCCATGAGGATGCTTCTGCGTTTGAGTTTGCTGGCTCTTGGAGCTGCCTGCGTTTGTGCCATTCCCATCGAAATTTCCATGAGTACACTGGTGAAAGAGACCTTGGCGCTGCTTTCCACTCATCAAACTCTGCTGATACACAATGAGGTAATTTTCGTTTTTGATTCCTACAGTCTTTAAAATGCATAGGAAATCATTGTGGTGGTTCATGTACTATGTATAAAGAACTGTTATACATAAGAAAATTCTGAATGTATTAGCAGTACCTAGGTGATTAACCACACCACTAGCAAGCATTATATGAAAAGTTGTGAATGCTAGAGTACTTTTAAAATGATTATATTTCCTTTCCTTTTCAGACCCTGAGGATTCCTGTTCCTGTCCATAAAAATGTAAGTTATATTATGATTCAATAAAATGGTTATGTGTATATGTAAATTTCATATTTTAAGCTATAAATCCTTAGTTATTATTGGAACTCTTTAATTTTCTGTATTTTCTTCTCATTTGGGTAGATGTGAATGTTTGTGGTTATAAATGTTATGGAAGACTTTTTAACAAATAGAACCCATTAACCAGTGGATCAGGCCCTTTGGTGATGTAGTCAGTTTTCTGTCCCAAAGAGCCTCATGTCAGGGATTCTTTCCAGAGAATTCCACACTAGGTGAAAGGTACCTGCTAGTCTCTATTGATTTTTGACGATCTATGGCCTTCTTCTCTTTAATGTCTTTCTGAAAGTATTAGCAACTTACAGTTATGTTTTTAGAATCATGATTAGTATACACTAAAATATATAACAGGCCAGGTATGATGGCTTGTGCCTGTAATCCTAGCACTCTGGGAAGCCAAGGTGGGGGAGAATCACCTGAGCTCAGGAGTAGGCAACCAACCTGAACAAGAGCAAGACCACGTCTCTACTAAAAATAGAAAAACTAGCTGGGCATGGTTGCGGGTGCCTGTAGTCCTAGCTACTCAGGAGGTTGAGGCAAGAGGATTACTCAAGTCCGACAGTTTGAAGTTGCTGTGAGCTAGATGGCACTCTACCCAGGACATCAGCATGAGACTTTGAGTCAAAAAAATAAATACAATAAAAAATAAAACAAAATAAAATATACAACAAGCGCCCTATATTAATAATTTCTACATATTTCAGTGATATGACTAATGGTATTGTATACATTTGGAACATGTGCCAATGATATGAAAATGTGAAATATTTTATTAGTTTAAATAGAACAAATTTACCATATAGAACTATGAAAGGAAACACGATGTGAGTTTTATGAATAACGTAATTATATCATACTTCCTAAACCCTTTATTTCTGGGTAACTAGTTAATTTATATCATTTATAAAACTCCTAGTAATTTTGTAAATTTCATCTACTATTTGAAAATTTTATCTCAGTATGAGGTGGTTTGCCACCTGGAAAAGGAACAGATAAAAAACTCTTTGAAGGCTGAGCAAAGTGGCTCATGCCTATAATCCTAACACTGTGAGAGGCCGAGGTGGAAAGGATCCTTTGAGCTCAGGAGTTTGAGACCAGCCTGCTACAAGAATGAGACCCTATCTCCGCTAAAAATAGAAAAATTAACTGGGCATAGTGGTGGGCGCCTGTAATCCCAGCTATTTGAAAGGCTGAGGAAAGAGAAGGGCTTAAACCCAAGAGTTTGGAGTTGCTGTGCACTAGGCTGATGCCTGGGGCAACAGAGTAAAACTCTGTCTCCAAAAAATAATAATAATACTTTTTGAAGAAAGGAACTCATGTAAATACCACAAAACAAAGTCTTAACCTTTTAGATAAAAATTTTTTCTAACTTGTTTATTTTTAATTGACAAATTCTAAAATGTACCTATTTATCATATGTGATATTTTGAAATATATGTACATCGTGGAATAGCTAATGGACCAAATTTTACACCTTGTTTTGATTATCTGCATTCTAAAAATCTTCTTCATTCAGCACCAACTTTGTACTGAAGAAATCTTTCATGGACTGGACACACTGAGGAATCAAACTGCACATGAGGATGGTGTGGAACAACTATTCCAAAACTTGTCTTTAATTAAAAAGTACATTGACCGCCAGAAAGTAAGTTAGAGACATTCAGTGCAAACTGTATTTGTCTGGCTGTGCCTCCTTCTTCAGGAATCGACTGTTTTCTACAATATCTATTGTCATTTCTTTTCACAGAAAAGGTGTGGAGAAGAAAGACGGAAAGTAAAGCAATTCCTCGATTACCTGCAGGAGTTTCTTGGCATAATAAATACTGAGTGGACAATGGAAAGTTGAGACTAAACTGGTTTATTACAGCCAAAGATTTTGGAAGAGGAGAAGGCTGTTTCATTGCAGCAAGAATGTGGGCCAGTGAAGGCTGGGGTCTTGATTTTCAGTATACTTAAACTTCAGAGGCAAAATAAATATTTCAGGCACACTGCTGCTTTATCACCTCACACAAGCAGAAAGCATAAAGTATTTGAGATATATTTTAGATAACAGAATCATTGAAGTATTTTTCTCCAGTCTGCTCCAGACAAAATAGATATGTACTGTTATTTAACTTAACATTCTGTAAAGTGTCTGTTAACTTAATATTATTTATGAAATGATTAAGAATGTGGTAAATTAATATTTATTTCATGTTATGTTTCAATAAAACAAACAATAGATTTGTTTAATTTGCTGCTGGCCTCTGTCTTAACACTTATAATTAGCACAGTCCATGTGAGCACATGCTGGGTGTGAAGGGAGGTCTGAGCTCATGCTAGAGGAGCCTTCCCTTATCCCTGGAGAATTCTCAGGGTTTCAAGGAACACCAAGGGGGCAAGTGGTCTGGTAGGACTTCATAGGTATGTGGGGAGCAGGGACATGGGCAGTAGCTGAACCTGGTTTCCTCTCCACAGTATACCCAGAGCCTAGGATGGTATAGGTAGATGGTAGGAAATGAATGAATGAATGAATGAATGAGCTTTCCAGGACTAGCTACAGAATTGAAATGGCTTGGAGGGCCCCCCTGGGTGGAGGACAGTGCAGGAACCTGTAACTAGGTTTCTTTCCAGTCTGTGAGAGGAATTTGGCAAAGCAATCCCACTGCCAGTTCAGGGAGAAATCCAGAAACCCTCTCTGTCAAGGTCAGCCCTGGACTGGGCTGGGCCAGGGCTCTATGGCCAGGAGGAGTTCTTCTTCACCCCATCTGGCATTACAACATAACAACAAAGGAGCAGATAAGCACTGGTAGGGCTGTCCTACTGGAAAGGCTAGGTCCTAGAGGGGACTGCTGTCCTATATTACAAGGGACAGAGCCATGCCAGGCAGAACAGCACTCTAAATCTGCCTGGTTATGACTGTCAGTAGTGTAACTGGAGATTCTTCTGTTTGAGAAAACTTTCAAGGATCCAGAAAATATTTTTAAAACTGAGATGGATCTGAAGGAAAGACCTAGTAACAATATTCAACTATGCCATTAATTCTTTCATTCCACAAATATTTACTGGTCACAGGCTCTGTGCTGGGTGTGGGATACAGCTGTGGGCTGAGGTCCTTAGAGACCAAAGCCATTGCCCAGGCATCATACAGATTGTTGCAATTATTAGACTCAACTGTTGTGTGAAGCAATTGCTCCTACTCTTTCTGAGCATGAAAGAGGACCCAGAGCAGACACGGACTCCCAAGTGGGAAGGTGCAAGTCCTTCTGTGGAAACAGGAGTATTTTCCTTCCAGGCATGGTCAGGACTCCACCATGGCACAGGCCCCCCACTTGCACACATACCAAGCCCCAGGAGCAGCAGGGAGGGAGGAAGATGGATGAGCACAGCACCTTCCTGACTGCTCTAGAAACTGACAGGAAACAGGAAACTCAAGTTGCAGAAAGACTGACTTTCAACTTAATTCGATTCAGCAATTATTTACTGAGCTCTAGTATGTCCCAGGACTATTTTAGGGACTAGGATTCATCAGTGAATAAAACAGATACAATTCTCTACCCTGGTAGATTTATATTCTTTCTTCAAAAACTCATGTTCCCACTTCTTTATCAGGATCCGATATAGCTAATGTGGATTTAAGACCATAACATGGCATCTACAGCCCCTCTAATGAACCCTCACTCATCTGCCAGGTCCCAGAGAAGCTAAAAGCAATCAGGGCTGTTTGTCACTAACCAAAATGGAGCTTCTTAGATGTACCAGGACCATTTAAGGCAGAAACCATGATTCTCCAACAGTCTGTACTTCCCCTGTAGAAACAAAGGCAGCTTGATGACCCTGACCAGAGGGAGTGGGTTCCTGCCAACTCACATACACGGACCCTCCCACAGGCCTGACTAGAACCCAAGGTATCAGGGGAGAGGGATCTGGCAGGCTCCCAGTAATAAAAAAATATTTTTTCATGAGTCTTGCTTTGCTCTTAAAAGCTTATGCCAACAATAGAAAGTCTATTTTCATGTGTGGCGCCTGTGGCTCAAAGGATTAGGGTGCCAGCACTATATACTGGAGGTGGAGGGTTCGGACCCAGCCCTAGCCAAAAACTGAAAAAAGAAAAAAAGAAAGTCACTTTTCACTTTATCTGGGTGATGCCACTGTTGTGATTAAGTAGGAAGAGCCAGTGTGGACTATTAGGCTTATTTTTGGAGAAACACAGAGGAACCTTCCCAGAGAAACCAGTCATTCTCTGTTAGCCCTCCTCATGCCACAAAGCCTGCTGTTGCTCCCTTCCTTCTCCTTTCCCCATTTTGAGGTTTCTTACTTTGGCTAATAGGCTGTGACTACCTCCCTGTCACCTTTCTGGATGCCCCCCTGATTTTTACCCTCTGTGTCCTTCCTTGTACCTACCACTCAGGCTCTGAGATGTCTCTCTGGTTGCCTCTCTCCATCTCAACTGCTGTGGTTCAGCCATCACCCCTCACCTAGGCTCAGCCACCGCCAGCTCCCTACTTCAGGTTCTCCCCATGCCTGTCAGGTCAGGGCTGTTGATAAAACACATCCACATCCACATGTCCCTATTGTGCATAAAAACCTCTGACTCACTACCATCTGCCAGGCTCCTTCCCAGGTCACATGAGGTCTACCTCTGCCTCTCCAACATACAGAAATAGAGAAATACAGGCATCGCCCACTTAGCATCATTGGCAAGAAAGCATTAACCAGGAGCCACGTTTCTGTTATTTTAAATGGGAAAATTTTCAGTGCATTACATCTCAACTCAAAACCCTAAACCAATTTCTTAAAACACAAAACACAGTAAAACACCTAGATATAAGAAACAAACACATTAAGATGTAAACAAGTTTTTAAATTATATTTACTTATTTAATTGTGGTAAAAGAAGGATGTGAAATGTTTAAAACAGAACTTCCTGATCACTCAACAGCTAATATGGTTGTTGCTTTGTTCGTTCAACCTGCTGCATGGATCCTTAGTTGACATTCACAGCCTTTCTGACTGTCAACTCTGATTTGCTATCAGTTGTATTTGGAATAAGCCTAAAGATTTTTTCCATTGACTCCCCTCATCACTTCGCTAAAAAAAAATTATTGTATTTGGAGGACATTAATATAAAATATTTCTAATATAAATCTGGGTGGGAAAGCATTACATTGAGAGACATATTCTACGAAGAAATATTCTATATGGAAAATGCCAATTGGGAAGATGTTCCACAGGGAATGCTAGCTTTTATTCCTCCTAAAGTACCCTGTGAATTTTCACACCTCTGTGTCTTTGCCCACACTGTACCCTCTGTCTCAGTACATCTGCCCTTTGCCACCCAGTGACCTTGTAATTGCCCTTTAGATATTTTCATTCATCCCTTATTTGTTTATTTATTTATTTATTTATATTTAGAGATAGGATCTCACTGTATTGCCCAGGCTAGACCCTGACTCCTGAACAAAGGATCCTCTTGCCTCAGCCTCCTGAGCAGCTAGAACTATAGGTTTGTGCTTCCTCATCTGGCTGCCCCTCCCTCTTGGCTCTCATAGTCCAGCTCAAATGCTACTTCCTCTTTGAATCTCTCCCTGCCTAGCCAAGCTGAATTACCTGCTCTCTTCCCGCATGTAATTGGCTCAGTGTTCTGGAATGCTTCCAGGTTATGATGCCTCCATCTAAACAATCACTTCTATGATTTCCTTGGGAGAGAATAAGAGTCATGGAGAATCACGTGTCACTTCTTACATATTTCCACTCATACCATGTTGGATAGAGCGAGTCATACTGTCACAGTTCTCCCATGTGTCCAGAAAGAAAGGAGAATTAGAAATATCGCAGAGTAGCGCTGATATCTAACACAAAAAAAACTCTCAACAAAGACAATGTTCTAGCACTTTGCCTAAGAAAGGAATAAACTACTATTTACTTACCATCTACCATGGGGTAGATACTTCTTAGACATGTAATACAAGTATCTCCATAAACTCTCATTATAAACCAATGAAAGCAGTATTATTCATTTTTTTATGATATGGAATCAAAAGTTCAGAGTTTAAATTTTTGTCCAGTGTCACAGAGATAATACACAATAGAGTTGAGATTCAAATCTTGGTATGTGCCTTTTTTTTTTTTTCAATTTGAAAGCAGTCACTGTTTATTAACTGACCAGATTACAAAAAAAATCAGGGCAGATACCTTAGTTCATTCTTCTAATAAGCCTATTGATTTGGTCTTCCCTGTTACCAGCATCTCCACCTTCTACAAAGTGGGTTGTCTTTTTCTTCATTCCACCCTGTGGAGATGATAACTTGAAGGGCCACAAGAAGTTATTTGCTTCTTTGAAGCGTTTTCCAACAGTATAGATCTCATGAATCAGATCCTCCATGTAGATGATACCATATTTACCAAGAGATGGTGCAAACTGTTATCAGTCAATGCAATTTGTTTCTTATTGATTTTGCCATAACCACGCTTGTATATTAGCTCATTTACTGACTTCAGATTTGGGTACCCCCGTGCAATATACAGTTCTACAATCCTCAGCACATTCATGGAAGACTTCTTGAGCTTAACAAAAGTTCCATTGAAGATCTGGTGAAGGTGAAAAGCTGCAACACCTTTAGGACCTTTGGACTCACACCATTGATACCTCTGATCCTGATGGCAAATGCCAATTTGGGTTCTGCAGGTACATAGAAGTTGCCAGCTTTTCTTGCCATCCTATCCATCCGAATCTCAGTTCTGTACATCTGCCTGTATTGTTTATGATAATGCTTAGCTTTTTCATTGATAAGCTTCCTCCTTGCCTTTCAAAGCATCTTTTGGGCACATTTCTTTCTCAGATGCTTAATCTTCAGCTCTGCAAAATTCTTTTGCTTTTTCTTAAGGGTTTCTGGCACAGTAGGAACCTTCTTTTTCTTCTCTCCGACACCCTCCATGGTTCCAGCCGGAAAAGAGAAAACGGTATGTGCCATTCTAAACCTCCTATAACTTCTGAGAAAGTCTTATTCCCGTGGTGGAATTCAGTGAAATAGATGATTGATCAGCACATCCAAGCCAGCTTTTTGTGGTCCTCAGTACAGTTAGTGGTATCCTGAAGTGCCTGCAAGAGGAAGAAAGGAGGAAGAACAAGGCTGGAGGAAGATGGGCGGTGGCCTTTACAGAATTCTATCCTTGCTGCTTATTTTTCTTGCATTGTGCTGTGGGATATAGGAGGAATAGGTGTATTTCCTTGGTTTCGACTCTGCTCACAACTCAGTAAGAAGAAGAGGTTAATCCAGATTCATAAAAATGGTCCCGCAAAGATAAGGTATTCATTTAATTCACCCACAGTCACTACACCTGTGTTTACTATGGAGCCAGTGTTGTGGTTATTACCAAGAACCAAGAAAACTTGATTTCCTTGAGAACAAACCCTGCCTCTTTCTGAAACAAGCCAATGACAGCCAACATAATCAAGGTGAAAATGCTTGGGATTGTAGCCAGCTTACTGATAACAGGTCCCCAGTAAATTAGACCACTCTTACGTCATCCCCCAAATCTCAGCCATCCCATGCCAGCAACTAAGGGATATACCATATACACTGAGGCAAGCTGGGAAGGTGCTTGTTACCTTCCTCTAAACACCACACGAATTCAAGTGCAGAAGCCAAAAATTTCCAAGTGACTAGCTACCTCTGACCAGAGAAATCAGTGCAGAGCCTGGAAATGGCCCCACTCCCTTCCTTCCTCCTGGTATAGTGCAAGGTTTGCTTCTGGACAGAACAAGCCCAAGAGACTGGCCCCTTACAACCATGGACCAGTGTTATGGCAACTAGGGTGGGAGGAAATGGTTCAGTCCCTTCTGGACACTTTCTCATGGGGAAAATTTTGTCCCTCACCACCATTACATCACCACAAAACTTCCTACGGAGCCTTCTAAGAGCAAATTTCCCCAAGTCTAATCCAGTCTCGCTCTGCTGACTTCTTAGAGCTGAGTGTGCCATTATTCTCTACAAAAAATGTTTTTTTGGATCCCAGTACATACAGGAAGAAGCCACAGGAGATATGGAGGATGAAAGACATCTAATGTGTATCTACTCAGATTTCTAGAAAGACAGAGCAAAGGAAACAGAGAAAGGGATAAATAGTACTATAAATAAAAAGAAACCCACACCCAGGTATGTCATAATAACCTAAATGCCGGCTCAGCGCCTATGGCTCAACCGGCTAAGGCGACAGCCACATACACCTGAGCTGGCGGCTTCGAATCCAGCCCGGACCCACCAAACAACAATGACGGCTGCAACCAAAAAAAAATGGCCGGGC